GGTCTCCACAGGGGCTGGGCCAGGAGCAGGTAGGCCCCTGACCACATGGCCTCGGGTGACCCCTCGGACCGACCCCCCTCGTGAGGGTGCAGTGCTCCCCAGCAGGGCAAGTGTAGCTGTACCAGGAGAAAACTCTAAAAAACTATTTTTCATTATTGATTTTCCAATCATTTGACTAATAGTCTACATTTAAATAAAATTTGAAAACTGAAAAGCAGCCTCCTGCAGTGTGAGAGGCTGGAGGGCCCACGGTGGGAGGCAGGGTGGCCTGGTGCCCAGGCCCAGGGCAGTGGCGGCGGAGGGAGGGCGTGCACAGTGGGGCTGCAGGTGGCTCAGGAGGGTGGAGATAAAGCGGGTCCCTTCAGAAGAAAAGAGGGCCGGGCCGGGGAGACAAGGCTGGGGGCGAAGTCTGCAGCCCTGAGACCTGTGCCTGAGGGCGCTGCTGGGAAGGGCCGCAGCCAAGCCTGCGCTGTGCAGAGAGCGGAGGGGCCGCCACCCCAGACCAGGCTTGGAGGCCAGGGGGCCAGCAAGGCTGGCCAGGGTGCGGCTGGCAGTGAGGTCTCGTGGCAGTGGCCAGGGTGAGGGCGGTCATGGGCGCAGAAGCAGCTGCAGGGGCAGGTGAGCCTGCTCTGCGGCCCCCCGTGTGCCAAGGCAGAGAACTCTCGGCTCGGCTCCGCTGGGGAAAACTCACTTTCACAGACCTTATCCAGAACTTTGCAATTAGAAAGAACTCATATTTTCAGCTCGTGGAACTTCTTCCAAAGTGTTTTATTTGAATCACACATGGATTTAGCCTCCAAGTCAGGAGGTGGAGGCTCAGAGGGCCCTTGCCCTGGGGTGTGTGTGCCCTCCTGGGTATGTCTGGCACTGCAGGTGAAGCGAGAGCCCTGGAAGTGCCGCTCCTAGCTCTGACCTTTGTGCATGTGATCTTGGGCCTCAGTTTCCCACTTTACCAAGAAAGGAGTAGAGCTGGGTTTTCTGGCAGCCCTCTCGGCTGTGAACTCTCCAGGGGGGACCCGGTGAAGGCAGCCGTCCTCCCACCCTTCACCCACCCTGGCGAGGACACAGAAGAGAAGGTGCAGGCTGTTGCTCTCTGGTTTTATTAGGATCTTACACAGATTGGGAGTTGGGGAGGGTATGTGGTACAGGGACTCAGTTGGCCTCCAGAACCTCAAGAACCCAGGGAATAAACTCCGTGACCCGGGCGTACACGCCTGGAGAGAATGGGAGGCACCGGCCACTGCCCCAGGACACGATGCCCACCAGGGTCCAGGCGCCATCCTTCTGGCAGACTAAGGGCCCTCCAGAGTCACCCTGCAGGAGGCAAAAGGACCCGTTTCCAAACCTAAAAGGGGTGCTGGGGCCCTAGTGTGCCCTGACCTGGCTGAGTCCAGGTGTGGGAGTGGGCAGAGAAATGGCACGTGACACACAGTGACCAGGCCCCAGATACTTAGGTCTGGGCCAGGTGGCAGCCCCAGCTCTGCTACCTGCTCCCAGGGGGCCTGTGGCACGTGGCTCACCCTCCCGGCCTGACATCATCTGTAAAACCAGCCGACAACATCCCGCTCACAGGGTTGCTGTGAGGATTAGATGCCCCCGGGGTGGCCCACCAGGAGCGCGCCCTCCGTCGCAGGCATCTGTTGCTGCTGGCCCTGGCTTTGGCTAGGGCCCCGGGCAAGGAGTGAGGCTGAGTAGACTGTGGCAGAGAGGAGTGGCCTGCCGGCCTGGCCAGGGGCAGGGCTGTGGTTAGTGGGGGTGGGCAGGGGGCCAGAGTGAGGCTCACCATGCAGGAGGAGACACCACTGGCCCCGGCACAGACCATCTCATCAGCGATCTTGCTGCCCCAGAACTTCTTGCAGTTGGTGTTGGACAGGAGGGGCAGGGCCGCCTGCTGCAGCTTGTCAGGGGTCTTGTTGGCTGGAGGGACAGGGGAGGCCACGAGGGGTCAGGGGCTCTCATCCCACCAGCATTGCCCCACTAAAGGACAAGCTGGGGGAGCCGTGGCCTGGGCAGAAGAGCTGAGGACACTGGAGGAAGAAAATCAGGCAGAGCGAGTAACCATAGAAGGTGAGACCAGGCCCCAAGCCAGACTGGACATTTGACTCCCAGCCCAGACTTGCTGGTGAGCTTGACACACCCACCCTCCTCAAGTCTGGAGAGAAGTCCAGGCCAGAACAGGCTGCTGCTGGACTCGGTGCTGGTTGGTGAGGGAGGGCGGTACTTGCTGGAACTTAGGTGTTTCTTCAGAAACTTATTGTTCAAGTCTATACTATTAAATCTCATCTTTATTTATGTTTGGTAGGTTTTTAATTTAAGAGGGCTTTAAATAAAGAAATGGAGATTTATGACTGTGTTGCAGTTTATGATGGAGCTTGGAATTTAGACCAAAAACAGAATGACTCTCACTTCGAGAAATCCCCTGTGTGCGGACACTCACCATTATACTGGGTCCTGCCCCAGCCAGTGGTGGCGCAGAGGTTGCCTTCGGGGTAGCTGGTGTTGGCACTAGGCAGGCAGACAGGAGACACAGCATTTGAGAGCTGAGCAGGCGAGGCCAGCTTCAGCAGGGCGATGTCGTTGCGGGCTGTGTGCCGGTCCCACAGGGGGTGTCGAAAAACCTGTGGTGACAAGGGTGGGGCCGGGCAGACCTCGGAGGGCTTGGGTGATTTAGGAGGGACACAGGCCAGGAGACTGGAGGACTTGGTGCCAGTGGGGTGGGTCTTTGAGAAGGAGACGCAGATGGGGCTGGACAGACAAAATTTCTGGAGGCTGGTGGGAAAATGGCATGTGACACATCAAGGTAGTTTAATTTTCATATTTTTGTGTTTTTCTACAATGAGCAAAATTTTATTATCAGGAACAACCCTCAGTATTTGTTAAGGAGCTTTATTACTAGGGAAAGAGAAGGAAAGAAAGCTTGGGGCCAAGAGTCAGAGGTGGGTGAGGCCTGAGCTGGCCAGCTGGGGTCCTCGGCCCACTCGCCTCCCACGGGGCTCCTCCCTGGCTCTGGGGCCCCAGGGCAGCCCTGCTGTGGCCGCACGAGCCTGCCCACCCAGCTGTACCTCGGCGATCCTCAGCACCTGCACAGCCTCGTCATCGGAGCCCAGATCAGATGCCCCAGCCACTACATGGTGATTCTTCCTGGAGAGAAAGGAGGTGGCAGAGGACCTCATGGCCACCTCTGCAGAGGGGCACCTGGGAAGTGAGTGTGGCAGGCAGGTGGCCCCGCTGGGTCACCGCCTTGTGTGGAATCCTCAGGCATCCCTTTCTCGTCCATATAGCGAAGGCACAGGACTAGACCAGCTGTCCTGGCCCAAGCTGGGGTCTGCGGATGGGGTTTTCTGCAGTTTGCAGCTCTGCCTGCATCTGGGGGTGGGGACAGCTGCTTTCCCAGCTTGCTGTCCATCTCAGACTCTTTCCCACGGGGCTGCAGTGTCTGGTTGGGGCTGAGGGGGGTGCAGGTTTTCCTCCGACGCCCCAGGGGCCCCTACCATCTAAGCCAGGCCTTACCTGACTCTGCAGTGGGCGGCGGTGACCACCCAGTGCTGGCTGATGAGGGAGCCACCGCAGAAGTGGAAGCCAGCTCTGGTCTGGGGAAAGAGTGAGGGAGAGTCAGCCTTGCCCCTCCTCTCAACCCCTCCCAATCTAACTCACCCGTCAGCCTGCCCCTCACCTGCAGGGACACCTGCCAGGGCCAGGAGCTGGGGACAGCATCCTCTCCATTGACGATCCTGGACAGGCCGCTCAGCTCAGGGTGAGTGGAGGGGACTCCACAGCCTGGAGCACAGGGAAGGGTGGCTGGTCAGTGGGTGGTCTCCCGAGGGGGTCAGGAGTAAAGATGGAGCCCTTCCAGGACTCTGGGACACCCTGACACCCAGAGCCCAGGCCACTGCCCAGCACTCTGCCCCCTCCGTCCCGGCCAGCAGCCGGCCTCAGGTGCCCTTGTGGAGGGTCCCTGAGGCTGAGGGCACCTGGAATTCGGGCCCAGAGCTGGAGGTTGGGTCCAGGACCCCCATGTGGGCAGCTCCCCTACCCACTGTGTGCCCTGAGGGAAGTGTGCGCCCCCCTCTGAGCCCAGAGCCCTGGGTCATGGGCCTGGGATGTTCTGCTTGAGCTATCGGTGCTCTGACGGCCTCTGAGTCTGCAGCAGGAGCAGGTGGGCACAGGGCAACGGGGGGCTCCAGAGACATTCTCAGGTGGGATTCCCATGCTCCCCAGCGGGACCCTGGCTTCTGAGAGGGAGGGGCCAGGTACGGTGGCTCTAGGGTGCAGGTGAGTGGGGGCCTGAGGGACCTCCAGGCAGCAGAGGTTCCCCAAGCCCAGCTAAGGACTGGGGCGCTGAGCAGAGGTACCCGGTGGGGCTGAGAGCAGCAGCCAGGGGAAAGAGTTAGGGTGTTCGGACGTGTGAGGTCTTGAACCCCCACCCACGGTCCCTGCTTCTAGGGGTGTGGCTGGGGGTGAGCCAGGCCTGCCCGAGCCATGCGCTTACCGAAGCTGTTGCCCACGAGGAGGAAGCAAAGGGCCACCCAGAGAAAGGCCATGGTGTGCAGCTTGGGAGGTGGGGTGGGGTGTACTCCAGGGACCCCCCTTATATTCCCCCAGCCCACCAATCGCAGCCTGCCCTGCCATCCCCTCCCTCCTTATCATGAGTCCTTGTGGGCCTGGGAAAGAGGCAGCCCTGGGGGCCATTCCTGGGAAGGTTTCCTGGAAGCACAGCTGTGTGGGGCCAGTGGTGGGCTCATCCCCAGCTGCCCACTACCCACGGAGGGGCCCTGAGCTCGCCGAGCATTAGGGGGAATGGTGAGGACCCCGAAGCCAGGGGCAGGAGCGTGGGGTGAGGCGTGCGAGTCAAGGTCCTGCTTCACCTGTCTTTGCCCTTCCTGGGGCGGGGGGATGAAAGACCCTCTCGGGACCCCGTTGCCACCTGGCCCAGTGAAAGCCCAAGCTTGGGAGCCAAGTGAGGCCTCAGAGGCCCCAACACAGGAGACAGACACACTGACAAGTCTTCCATTAGTTTATTAAGGCTTTGTGGGAGCAGGGAGGCCAGGTCAGGGCCAGGGGCTCAGTTGGCTGCCAGGATCTGCTGGACCCAGGGCATGAGCTTGGTGACACGGGCGTACACGCCAGGCTTGGAGGTGGAACAGGTGCTGCTGCCCCAGGACACGATGCCTGCCAGGGTCCAGGAGCCGTCCTTCTGGCAGACCAGGGGGCCACCAGAGTCACCCTGCAGGAGAGGAGAAGCGGACTTGGGTCTGGCAGCCAGGCCCTGAACGGTGTTCCCAGGGCCCAGACCAGGTTCTGACAGGTAGTGGACACTCAGGACATGAACTCTGGAAGGATTATAAAAGAAACTTCTGCAGCTCCTTCTGGGGTTTTTGCTCTGAAAGTCTGGGCCACCCACTGGGATCCTGTAATAGAGGCTCAATAAAACGGGTTTGATTGACAGGAGGAAAGCATGGTGGTGCTGGCCATGGGGCCTCTGTGAGGGAGGAAGGGCTGCCCAGCCTCTTTTGGGAGCGCTTCTGGGCCATGTTCCACTGCCCAAGCCTGGGAGGGGCCGTTTGCTCAGATGCTGACATCGAAGGGCTTTTGTAGGGTGGAGGCTTTGAGACCAGAGCCCCTTGTCTGGCGCCTGTCTGCTGAGGTCGTCGGTGACCCACCAGGAGCCCTGTCTTCCCAACTACCCAGGCGGCAATGCCCAGGGAGACAGCAGCAGCCCGAGGAGGAGGCTGGCCTACTGCTTCCACTTCCTGTCTGGCCAGGTCCCAAGACTGGGCTTTTGCCCACCTCCAGGCTGGGAGGGAAGGGGCATCAGGGGAGCCCAGGAGGTCCTACCATGCAGGAGGAGACGCCGCTGGCCCCAGCGCAGAGCATGAGATCAGTGATCTGGCTGCCCCAGAACTCCTTGCATTCGGTGTTGGACAGAAGGGGCAGGGCTGCCTGCTGCAGCTTCTCAGGGGTCTTGGCATCTGGAGAGGGAGAGCGGGCGGTCAGCACCACAGCTCTGCCCTGCCCTGCAGCCGCCGCCCCGCTGGTGTCACTCACTGTCGTATTTGGTCAGGCCCCAGCCAGTGGTGGCGCACAGCATCCCAGGAGGGAAGTCGTCGTCATTGCTGGGCAGGCACACGGCGGACACGGTCTGGGAGAAGCGGGCGGGCGTGGCCAGCTTCAGCAGAGTGATGTCGTTGTTGATGGTAAACATGTTGAACTTGGGGTTCTTAAAAACCTGGGGGGTCAGACAGCCGTGATTGGGGTCCGGGAAGAAGCCACACGAGCCAGGCAACACCTCATGGCCTCAGCGCCCCTCTCTGGACAATGGCCAGTTTTACTCGGCAGCTCCTGCAGAGGCCCAGACCCAAGACCGAGGTTCAGGCCTCCCCCGTGTGGCCCCTCGCACTCCCTGCTTTCTGCTTTGCCTGTCATGAGCGGGTACCGGGATGATCTGGGGGAGGCGCACAGCCCCTTCCCCGGGGGTTTCAGGCCTCTTGGTCCAGCCCAGTTAGCCTGGGCTGCACCCTCCTGACGGCCTGTCCTGCCGGGGGTCGCCTAGACTTTGGGGGCCACAGTACCTTGGCGATCTTCAGCACCTGGATGTCCTCGGCAGTTGAGCCCTGGTCAAACTCCCCAGCCACGACCAGGTGGGAAGTTCTGGAGAGGGTCAGAGAAGGGAGGGGAGTTCCTGCTGTGAGGTGGGGGCAGGCGGGAGGTGCAGGGTGCTTGTGTGTGTGTGAGAGCACGCGTGTGCAGGCCTAAGGGTCGTGTGCACCTTTGTACATGTGCACACACTTGGGTGGTGCTGATCACAGATGGAACTTAAAACAGCAACCACTGCCCCAGAAACAGCCACCTACAGCCTGCGGTGCTTCCTTCCCAGTGACCCCTGGGAGACAAGCAGGACTTGAGTTGGCCACACATTTCCAAATAAGGAACCTGATGAACTAAGGCATTAGAGGGCTAGTCCTCAGCGCTGGCTCAGGGCTTTCCTCCCACCCCAAGGGGTTTCCTGGGGATCCCAGGCCCTCACCTGACACTGCAGTGGGCTGCAGTGACCACCCAGTCCTCACTGATGAGGGAGCCGCCGCAGAAGTGGAAGCCAGTGCTGTCCTGTTTGAAGATGGGCTGGTCAGTGCTGGCTGGATACCAGCAACTTCCAGCCTGGCTCACAAGCCAGGACTCCCCACTCATGTGCAGAATGCCCCCTCACCTGCAGGGACACCTGCCAGGGCCAGGAGCCGGGAACAGCCTCCTCCCCGTTAACAATCCTGGACAGACCACTCAGCACAGGGTGGATGGCAGGGACCCCGCAGCCTGCGGGTGGAAGTATCGCTGACGAGTGGAGGCCAAGGTGGATTCTGGACCCCCCAGCCCAGGTCCCATTGACCCAGGAATCCCCCAGAGACAACTTAGTCTGACGTGTGCCTCAGCCCAGACCAACCCAACAGGTTGAGTGTGGAGTGGCAGTAGGGCCGCAGCTCCCCTGCGAGGCTGGCTCTGTGGGTCTGAACCCAGCCTCCTCACTGCCTAGCTCAACCTCTTCATCTCAGTTCCCATTGGCAGAAAGGGGCGCATACAGTTGCTAATGTCGCAGAGTTGGTATAAGGATACAGGCAAAACAGGAATGTGCTCTGTTCCTGGCACATAGTAAGTGCTCAGTAAACACGAGTTTAAAAGGGCTGAGTTCAAGGGCCAAGCTACTCCTGCCCACCAGCTGACCAGCTGAGCCCCTGACCAGAGAACCTTCTGTTCCCCTGGACGTGTCCTCCCTGACCCCTGCACAGGGAGTGAGGCCTGGGGGCAGAGCCAGGAAGGCCCATCTCCTCCCCAGGGGCCTCACACTGGCCAATCTGATCCAGTTCTCCCGTGTCCCCACCGTGGCCATGGAGATGGTGAGCCTCAGAGTGGGGCAGAGACTCGCTCAGGCCACACCACCGCGCATGGCCGAACAGGGAGCAGGATGCTGCTGCCCCTGGCTGACTTCAGGCTTGGAGGAGAGGGGGGCAGCCTCCCTGGCCTCTGCCTGCCCTGGCACTCACCGAAGGCTGTGCCCAGGAGGGCGCAACAGGAGATGAGCCAGAGCAAAGCCATGGTGCTGTGGTCAGGGAGGTGGAGGTGCCTGCCCAGAGGGCTCCCAGTTATATCTCAGTGCACCAGCTGTTATCTGGAGACCTTGACATGACAATCCCTTTCCTGTGTGCCCAAGTAGGCAGGATGTGCCAGAGCAGGGCTGGCATCAGGGCCTGGGATGGCAGCAGCTGCGGCCCATGGCTAAGCCTGGAGCCAGGGCAAAGGGCAAAGGAGGGGCCGAGCAAGGTGGCCCTTGGCCCACACCCAAGGGCAAGTTGGGTCACTTGGTCTTTCTCCTCTGCTGCCTCGGGGGGCCTCGCCTCTGTGTTAGCAGCCAGGCCTGAGAAGGGTTTGAGCCCCAGGCTGGTCTTCCCTAGTCTGGGGGACCTCGGACAAGTAATTTAGTTGGTACTATTCAAAAACCGCTGGGCAGTTTTTGGGAGCAAGTGTGGGGACCGAGCCTTGGGTGAGGGCATGGCTGCCAGGGGCTGAGGACGCTCCCTGGTCTCCAGGATGGCCAAGGAGGCTCGGTGTTTGCGGCGGTCCCTCGGGCTGTGTGCAGTGTGGCTCAGGGGGGCAAGGTGCCCGCTGCCTGCTCACATATGGCCATCCCATGGTGCCCTGGAATTGAGCCTGTGACATCCTGGGGCAAGATGGGCCCAGGGGCCATCCAAGGAGCCCCTGCTCTGGCCAGGAGGGGGCTGGCAGAGGCCGGCCCAGGCAGGAAATGGGGAAGGGAGGGCCACTTTGCCAGCAACTGAGAAACTGGGCAGCGAGAAAGCACGGGGGTAAAATTAAATTTCCCCCCCTGTCTTTAATTTCTGTTGAATTGATGATTAGACTGTGGCGGTTCACTGTACAGGTTTTGGCACAAAATAAACCTTGGGGCCTCGGGCAAGTTACTTGCCCTCTCTGATCCCGTTTCAAAGTATGTAAAATGGGGATGCTTAAAGTACGAGTCCCACAGTCGGGAAGGGCACACGCCATGCTGAGCGTGCGAGGACCCGGCCTCACGCAGCCCACCCCGGGGGAGGGTCTTTGCACCCCCGCTTGAGTCGCCGGCTGGCGCCCTCTGCAGGCTCCAGGGATTGCCCAGGGGCCGGGAGGGACGGGCGCAAGGTGCCAGGTGCGAAGGCAGGACGCATCTGTCACCCAAAGCTCACCAGGCTCCCGCTGGAATAGAACAAAGGAACAGAAACACAGATCCCCGCCTTTAGCAAGGTTACGTGGTGACACGGGTGGGAGGGGTTAGAGAGAAAAGTTTTTAAAAAAAGAAAGGAAAATAAACATTATTGCCAGCTAACGACTTATCGCTCTTTATCATTATCAATACGGAGGCGGGAGGGCCTCACTCCGAAGGGCACATTGAAGTCGCAAAGCGCGAGTCTGCAGCCAAGCCCAGCCCCGAGGAGCCGGCGCCCCGGAAGGGGGCACAGAGGGCAAAGCGCGCCGGGCCGGGGCGTCGGGAGGCCCGCAGGGGCAGCGCCTGGCCGAGGGGGAGGCAGGGCGGCCCGGGCTGACCCGTGGGAGCCGCCAGCTGGCCCGGCCGGGCCGCCCGCGCCCCTCGCGCCCCAGCGGCCGGGCCTGGGAACCGCGCAGCTGCGAGGGGTCGGCAGGTGCGTCCACGCCCGCGGGGGCGGGGGGGTCCCCGGGCTGTGGCTGAGCCGCCGCTCAGCAGGCGTGAGTCGAAGGGTGAGTGGACGGACCTCTGGACCCAGGTGTTAGCCAATCGAGTTCACAGTGAAGAGTATTTTCCTGGGTCTTTTTTTGGTAGTATTTCTAATCTCCCGCCCTCGGGTTTAGAACCCTGCGCCTCCAAGACTCCTGGAGCCCACCCGTCTCTGCTCATGGCTTTGTTTGCGGGGTGTGTGCCAGGTCAGAAAATCTTAACTGCACTTGCCACCTCGTTGCAGTTAGTAGGTGTAATGGGCAATGCTGAAGCAAGCCCAGGAAAAGGTATAAATCAGTAAAATCTACTCAGGAGATGACAAGATCCATGTGCACGGCGGGAACAGCGTCGGGCCTGGGGGGCAGTGCTCTCCCAGGCAGTCTGGGTGTCGGGGAGGCCCTGGTCCAATCCCTGCCCGACTAACTCCCGGGATTTGGCCCTGGGTGGGGGCTGTGCCAGGATTCCAGGTCCTGACCAACATCGAGGCATGCAGGTTGCCGCGGGCATCGGGCATCCGTCCCCCCAGAAGCAGTGGTCTTGCTTGTATCAGCAGTGTGTTCCTTTCTGCTGCCAGCGGTGTTTCACTGGATTAGTGCACCACCATCAATGTACCCATTCTCCCACTGCGGCTGTTTCTCCTCCCCGAGTCCCACCCTCATTTTGCTCCTTGTCAACCCTAAACACAGGCAGGCAAGAAATGCACGATTCTATTTTTTTTTACTAGAGAATGCAATTTCCATTTTGATCATTTTCTCTGCTAGCAGCCTGAAATCAAATCTCAGCCCATGGAGGGTGACTCCCCGGAAGCCAGGAATGGGGCTGCATCTCCAAGGTTTGTCAGAGGCAGTAAGACAAAAGGCCCTTAAACTCACTTGTTTTCCTATTATTTTCCCCTAACCCTGGCTGGGTAGGGGACCAGAGAAGGCTATGGACAGGATCTCAAGGATGCACCCCAGAACCTCTCCTTTCTCCCCTAGCTCAGGGAATTTTAAGTTAATATTTTTGGGGAGAAAATTACCCAAAATTTCAAACTGTTGGGATTGTGTTCCACTGAGAAACAAGGGAGACTTGAAAAACTACAGCATAAGCAAATTAGACATTTATTTTTCTCATTTAACAAGAAATCTAAAGGGAGGAAGTCCAAGGTTCATGTGGCAGCCTGAAGACTCTGGCATCTTCCCTGTGGCTCCAAGAGGGCTGCTGAATCTCCAGGCATCACATCTGCATTCAGCCAGAAAAAAAAGGGGGAGAGAAAAGATGAAAAAGCAATACCAGCTGAGTCTGCCCCATTTTAAAACGTCTCCCTGGTAGCCCATCCAATGACTGCTCACGTCTCATTAGAGCTGTGTCTCAAGGCCACCCTTAGTGGCAAGGGACTTAGGAGCATAAGCCTTTTATTTTATTTTATTTTAAAAATGTGTTTAATTAAGGTATTATTGATATACACTCTTATGAAGGTTTCACATGAAAAAACAATGTGGTTACTACATTGAGCCTAAGCCTTTAAGTGGAGGCCTTCTCCACGTCAAACAAACCTGGAAGGTGGAGGAACAGGTTCTGGGAGGCCACCAGCGCTGATGGCCACACGGGGCAGATCATGTCTTGACTCCTTCAGGGTTCAGGCATTTGAAATAGAACAGCACAGTGCCCTGCAGTTCAGAAGCTCTGGCTTCTTGTACATGTCAGCATTCTCAGGTGCCAGGCAAGCAGAAAACTGGTGGACTTACGGCGAGAATGCATTTCTTAAGAGGCCCCCAGTGTAGTCAGGACAGTGAACTGGAAAACTAGGCTCCGGGCTTAGCAGCCAGGCACGAACCCCACAGCAAGCTCAGAGGCCACAAGGTGGGCAACCCACCCAACGCAGCCAGGGAGCCGGGGCCAGTGGCACCCACTCCCTCGCTCCTTTGGCTCACCCAACACGTGCCTGCCTAACCGAGCATATTATATCATTTCTGAGATAAATTATGTTCACATTTTAATGTGTCTGAAAATGGAATTGTCTTACAAGTGACGGCCTCTTACAACTGCTGGCAAGGTGGCCATGGTGCCTGTACAAACCTGGTTTATTCCCAGTGGCATTGCTGAGCAGGCCCACAGACCATTTAAGGACCGTCTTGGGGAGGAGGAACATCCTGGTGACCCCTCCTTGGAAGGTCAAGGGCAGCCATACAGAGGGACCGTGGCGATTTGGAAGAACATGCCAGACACCAGCCCACAGCTCTCTCTTAGGAAATGTGGCCTTGCTGGTGCCTGTCATGGTGCAGCCTTTTCTTCTTTTTCATGGCACATGAACGAGGAGTGTGCAGCTGGTAGGAGACGGAGCCTTTAGCTACTGTCAGAGCACTGCTTTCATTGCATCCCTTAAGTTTTGATATACAGTTTATAGTTGAAAGTATTCTTTATTTCCATTTTATTTCTTCAACTCATGAGTCACCTAGCAGGACGTTTTCTCCAGCTTTAGTGAACTTGACATTGAAGAATGACATAATACAAGAAAATGCACACATCGCAAGTGTACAGTTTGATGAGTTTTGTCAATTGTGCGCACACATTTTACACAGCAAGCAGATCCGGAAACAGCCAGAGGCGCCCGTGTGCCACTTGCCGCTCATGGTTTCCCCACCTCCAGACTAAGCACCTTGCAGACGCCTAATGGCATAGCTGCGTTTCACCAGTTTTGGAACTTCACAGGAGGAGAATCGCATGGCAGTGCTCTTGAATCTCTTCAATCCCAGGTTGTTGTTGTTGTTGTTTTTCCTTCAATCTGTGGGATTTATCTCCATTATTTCTCCAACTGGAGAATTGATCCTTTTCTGCTTTTTATTTATCTTGCTTTCTGGGACTCCTGTTTTCTAGGCTCTGGCATTTCACCTACTATCCTCTATGCTTCTTTTCATTTTTTCTTTCTTTACTCTTTCTTGCTTCATCTGAGACAGTTTCTTAACCTGACCTTCTAATCCAGTGATTTCTCAGTTGCGCTGATCCCACCATGGGTCCCGCTGTGCACCCCGCTGTGACCCCGCTGTGGACCCCACTGTGGATCCCTCTGTGGACCCCGCTGTGGACCCTGCTGTGGATCCCACTGTGGACCCCGCTGTGGACCCCTCTGTGGACCCTGCTGTGGACCCCACTGTGCACCCCTCTGTGGACCCTGCTGTGGACCCCGCTGTGCACCCCTCTGTGGACACCACTGTGGATCCCTCTGTGGACCCCACTGTGGACCCCGCTGTGGATCCCATCTGTTACGTTCTTTGCCCCAGTCACTATGGTTTCCACACCTCTTCTATCTACTTGATTTTTCTTTTTATAGTTTCTTGTTCTGATTTGATATTGCTAACGAATTATCATGTTTAGTGTTTATTATGCCTATTTTAAGCCCCCATACATTTTTTTTTCCTGACATC